CCAGTGAAGTTATCACTAGGATGTAATGTAAACACAGCATTTTCTCTGAAAAGACCATGCTTACAGCAAAAAGACTGATGGTAATGATTCTACTCACCAGAACAAATTCAATAAGCTGTAGTTGTTCTGGTGACTATAGTGTCCCTTTAACTATATTCATTGTCAGCCAGTCCACACAAGTTTACATCCCTCTTAAGTTTCCATACTTAAGTAAGAGTATGTGAAAAGTAGTTAGGGTTGCCACCTTTCTTGGAAAAACATACCGGCCTTACTAATTTATGTGTGGGTGACATCACATGATGTAAATCACAAGGAGTGACATAAGAGAAAATGCTGTAAAATCGCCAAAAAACTACTTAGTTTAAATCTGCTGTAAAGATGGATTCCTCCCAGTGCCCCCATGTCTCCCAGTGCCCTCATGACTCAGTGCCCCCATGTGTCGATTACTCCAGATCTCAGTGTTCCTATGTATCAGTGTCTCAGTTCCCCATGTCTCCCAGTGTCCCTTAGTGTCGTGTCCCCAGGTCTCCCAGTGATCCTATGTATCAGTGTCTCAATGCCCTATGTCTCCCTGTGTCACCATGTATCCCAGGGTCCCCATGTCACTAGGACACTAGGAAGACGGGGAGACCTAGGGACACAGAGACACCAGTGACACTGGGAGACTATGGGACTCTGGCTGGGACACATGGGGACAATGGGAAAATAGGGGACACTTGAAGACATGGGGACACAGACACCAGGGACAAAGATACTAGAGACACTGGCTAGGGGACATGGGGACATTGAGACATGGGGGCACTGGGAGACATGGGGACACTGAGACACCAGGGCCACAGACACTAGGGACACTAGCTTGGGGACATTGTGACACTTGAGGCACTGAGAGACATCAAGGCACTAGGAGACATGGGGACAGTGAGACACTGGCAGACTGGGGGCACTGGGAGACCAGGGTCACTGGAAGACTAGGGGCACGGAGACACCAGGGACACTGGCTGGGAGACATGGGGGCACTGTGTCCCCATGTGTCTGTGTCATAATGTCTCCCAATGTCCCTTAGTGTCTCAGTGTCCCCATGTCTCCCTGCTGCCTTTCCCCCCATCCCTTACTTCCCTGAGCTGTAGGCCGTCTCTGCAGGGTGGGAGTTGCTGTCTGGACTCTCTGTAGCTGCACCCCTGCAGATCAGTCAGTATAGATAGGCAGGGAGGGAAATGCTGGAACTTCCTATATTGCCAGTATCACTGCTATATTGGCACCAGCCAGGCAGCCTCAAATACTGGCTGTGCCAATACAATAAAAGCCAGGTGGAATCCCTAAGAGTAGTGTGTGAAAAAAAAAATGTAAAAAAAAAATGTAAAAAATTTTTTTTTTTTTTTTTTTTTAAATCAATGGGCCTATTCCATGGGCCTGGGCCTGGAGCTGCAGCTCCATCAGCCCCTATGTTAATCCGGCCCTGACTCCAGCACAATAACATATTTAAAGTGAAGAGCACACCCACAGGACTTCAAAATAAATTTTTTTTTACAGTTGTGCCCTACATACATTCACCATTTCAGTCCCATTGTGTATGTCAAGGTAGTTGGACTGAAACATTGATTACATGCAAAGGCACGTCTGCTTAAAATAAATCTGCACTTTTGTTTATTTTGAAGCCTATGAGTGCGCTTTTTACGTTGAAGTACTTTTTAATTTTAATTTATCTGTTCTAACTCTGGCGCGATGCATTATGGGGCTGGTAAATATTTTTTTTCCAGGGCTGCTTTTAATTCCCAGTCCGGCCCTGGAGGTGTGTGCGGAAAATTTAATCTTAGTAATTGTTGTCTCCATATAGATGATGAAGCGCAAGTTGTGGTTGACCTTACCAGCCACATGGTTAAATTCACGCACGTACCTACTCAGATTTGGAACGGGTATAATCCAGGTAGTTGGTTTGGAAGCTGGTATGAACAGTTTGGAGGGATAAAGACACTGGTAGGAGGAGTGGTATTTATTATTATCTTATGCCTCTTACTACCCTGCTTGGATCCATTAATAATTTGGTCTATACATCGTGTTATTGAGAGCACTATAGCAAAGAAAGACAGCAGCTCATGTAATGGCCATCTGGAGATATGAACCTCTAGCCCAAAGAGAAATAATTTGTAATCAGGCTGATGAGTTCTGAAAATTCATAAGATTCAGCTAGAATGCTCACATGGTCTCTCCTGTTTTGTAATTACCTGAGTGGTATTGGCAAAGTATGGTAAGTGATGCATCTGGAGTACTCCGTATCAGAAGCATCAAAGTGGGGAATGTGATGGGATTTCAGCTAGGCCCAAAATTTTGTAGGCCTAAAATCTCCATGTGGCATATACAAGTAAAGGTATCTATTGTATCTGTTAGTTAGTTACATGTAGCTAAGATACTGTCATCAATGTACTGAGCATGGGCAAGAACTGAAACCACATTCCATTATCCTCAAGGGCCATGTTGCCTGTCCATATAAGTTAATACTGTGTATCCTGTTTGCTGATTTGTGTAAGGGTACAGATGGGGGATGCATAGCATATAAAAAGCCTCTACTCCATGTGCTCAATGCTCAGATCTTTTGAACAGGAGTTCAGCTGAGACCCAGTCGGTGAAAATAAAGACCTTTACTTCCTGAAAAGACCTGTGACCGGACGCTCTGTGCGTGGCTTCTTCAGTGTTACCCGGTAACAAGGGAAGTGCTTATGCCATTGTACAGAACACTGGTGAGACCTCACTTGGAGTATTGTACGCAGTACTGGAGACCGTATCTCCAGAAGGATATTGATACTTTAGAGAGAGTTCAGAGAAGGGCTACTAAACAGGTTCATGGATTGCAGGATAAAACTTACAAGGAAAGGTTAAAGGAATTTGACATGTATAGCATGGAGGAAAGACGAGACAGGGAGGATATGATAGAAACATTTAAATACATAAAGGAAATCAACACAGTAAAGGAGGAGACTATATTTAAAAGAAGAAAAACTACCACAACAAGAGGACATAGTCTTAAATTAGAGGGGCAAAGGTTTAAAAATAATATAAGGAAGTATTACATTACTGCGAGGGTAGTGGATGCATAGAATAGCCTTCCAGCTGATGTGGTAGAGATTAACACAGTGAAGGAGTTTAAGCATGTGTGGGATAGACATAAGGCTATTCTAGCTATCAGATAAGGCCAGGGACTAATTAAAGTATTTATCTGCCGTCACAGTCTATGTTTCTATATGCAATTATACATCCTGTTCCAAATTATTATGCAAATTATATTTTTCTCATTTACCTAAATAATTGATGTAAATAACAGTCATCATAATTCTCATGTTATCAACTATTAAGAGTACAATTCAAATTTTATTGAACAAATCTCCTAATGATAACAGTATTTTTTTTAAACATAAAAAACTTACAATGCGCTGTTCCAAATTATTACGCACAGTAAGTTTCAAAAAACACTTAATAGGTTGTAAAGAACTGAAAATTATCATTTGTTGTGTTTGCAGCATATTTACTGAAATCAAAAGCTATGTCAATTAAACTTATAACATTTTAACTTTTTAAACATTTTAACAGGTCACGTAACATTTTAACATAGGACCCCTTATTTGATAGCAGCTTCACAAGTCTTGCACCCATTGAACTTGTGAGTTTTTGGACAGTTTCTGCTTAAATTTGTTTGCAACATGTCAGAATAGCCTCCCAGAGCTGCTGCTTGGATGTAAACTGCCTCCCACCCTCATAGATCTTTTACTTGAGGATGCTCCAAAGGTTCTCAATAGGATTGAGGTCAGGGGAGGATGGAGCCCACACCATGACTTTCTCTCCTTTTATCCCTATAGCAGCCATTGATGCATAGGTATTCTTTGCAGCATGAGATGGTGCATTGTCATGCATGAAGATGATTTTATTAGGGAAAGCATAGTTCTTCCTTCTGTACCAGGGAAGAAAGTTGTCAGTCAGGAACTCCACATACTTTGCAGAGGTCATCTTTACACTTTCGGGGACTCTAAAGGGGCCGACCAGCTCTCTTCCCATGATTCCGACCAAAACATGACTCTACCACCGCCTTGCTGACGTCGCAGCCTTGTTGGAACAGGATGGTCGTCCACCAACCATCCACTACTCCATCCATCTGGACCATCCAGGGTTGCACGGCACTCATCATTGAACAGGACTGTTTGAAAATTAGTCTTCATGTATTTTTCTGCCCAATGCAGCCGGTTCTGAGCACTGGTTAGTGGTGGCCGAATAGAAGGTTTGTGCACAGTTGCAAAACTCTGGAGGACTCTACACTCCGTTGGACTCCAGAGGCACCAGCAGCTTCAAATATCTGTTTGCTGCTATGTAATAGTATTTTAGCAGCTGCTCTCTTGATCTGATGTATGGATCTGGCAGAAATCTTCCTCAATGTGCTTTTATCTGCACGAACCTGTCTGTGCTCTGAATCACCCACAAATCTCTTAATAGTGTGATGATCACGCTTAGGTTTTCGTGAAATATCTAATGTTTTCATACCTCGTCCAAGGCATTGAACTATTTCACTCTTTTCGGCAGCAGAGAGATCCTTTTTCTTCCCCATATTGCATGAAAATGGTGCTCTGCTTAATAATGTGGAACACCCTCCTTTAGTAGTTTTTTCTTAAATTAGGCTCAGCTGGCAATCTAATTATCACAGGTGTCTGAGATTGTTTTCAGTGATCAAAAGAGCCCTTAGACACAATGCCATCCATGAGTTAAACTAAAAAACAATATATTTAATCTTTGTGACACTTAAATAGAATTTGCATAATAATTTGGAACAGGGTGTAGAGACAAAATACAGCCCACACCTCCAAAATAAAGATGGGGCGCAAGCACCGAAAGTTAGCCCACACAGAGGGCTTCTGTCAGACTGATATGCGCAGGTCCTTCGATGGGCCGCGGTCTCAGGCTCGGACCAAGATGGCCCCCAACACAGCACGAGGCTCAAGTAACTCGGATGACTCCATGGGGGAGGAAGACATGGTGGCCTCGCAGGCAAACAGTGGAGTGCACCAGAGAGTAGACTCATTGCCCACTAAGCAACTGCTTCTGGACCTGCGGGCGGTGTGGAAAGCGGACCTCTCGGGGGTATAGACAGAGATTGGCACCCTGACTCACCGCATAGGAGAAGTGGAATCCCGAGAGGGAGATCGAGACGGCCGACTAGCAGAAACCCAAACCCAAATAAATGCCACGTCTCTGAAGATTCAGAAACTTACCTCTGGAGGCCAGGCACTGCAGGAGAAACATAAGGCTCCGAGGAATACCGGAGTCTGTGAACCAAGAGGCCCTCATGGACTTTGCTGCTAAGGTGGTGGAGCATTGGGTGTGAGGGCAGAAAGTGGAGCACAGCCCTTGGTATAGGCGTTCCGGGTCCGGAAAGCCCCCACTTTCCCTGCGGATTCCCAGCGAGACACCATCGTGATCACACGAGACATATCCATCAAGTCAGCCCTCCTGTCCCGCTCCAGAAACCAGGCCTCTGGTGGTGGAGAACAGCCAAATAAAACTGTTCAACGACCTACCGTTTGCGGTGCTGGCGGAACAGCGCAGTTACAACCGATCACCAGGGCCCTGAGAGACCACGGCGTCTGGTAAAGATGGGGAGCATCCGGAACACTGGTGGTGCCACACGGCGACTCGTGCTGGTCCTGTCGGCGGGGGAAGACCCAACCAAACTTCTCAGCACGCTGGGGCTGCCTGCTATGACACGGCAACCATGGGGAACAGCGGCAGTTCCCAGACAAAACGGATCAGCCCAAGGCAGAGCCCAAGACCCTCCATAAACCAACAGCAGGTTGCAGAGGACAACCCAGGCTACCCACCATGCGGTACCAAAATACCACTGAACAAACGATTGAACTGCAATAATAAACAAGAACGTACTTCCATATATCTTACAGCTTAACCCTTTTGCCCTCATAGTCTCTCATCACTTGCCAACATCACTGATAAGTCAAACACATACTCCCTAACGTGATAGCTCAGCACTATAGGTCCTGCATCTGGACTGAACTGTCAGTACTGTGTTGTGATGGATGCTTAAGGATAATTAATTTGTATTTTATTGTTTCTGCTTATCTATTTTTATAAGAGGGGGAGGGGGAGGGGGCGGGAGAAGGAGACCGGTATAACAAAGAGAGGTCGGAAACACTGCCTCGGGGACATGCCAGCTACCCTATCATCACCCAGACTAAAACGCAACTCCATGCCAATGCATTGCCTCCCCGCAGACTGCCGACAGAAGTCACTTAAACTTTAAATATTACTCCACTTATCTCACCGCAGGCACGCTGCACTACTCCTGTGGTCATGCATATACAATTTATCTACCCATGTTGTGAGGACCTGGTGCCGCCTAGCCGGCATTAGCACACCCCAATCACCATCAAATCAATATTTGAATAGGGATAGACGAGTGGGGATTAAAAGGGCATGTCCACATTAACATCCGCATAGATAGCTCCGTGGTCCCCATTAAGTGCTCTCTCCGCTACAATAGACGCCATCTGTTTCCTTTTTTGGCCTCCTAATCCGTTATCTGAAACCTACTGCTGTGTTCTTTATATCATCATTTATACATTTACTTTTATTTATTACTATTTTCCAAACATATTACTTAACAATTAAATGCAGGCGCAACCCTCCTGTCTACTAGCCTCATGGAATCTACGGACAGTGAGTTAAATCACGGCGTCAGGCTGACCTAGCTTGTCACACCCAGCGAACAAAACCCAGGGGCACCCTAATGGAGAATTAAGTCCCAGTGGCGCTATCCACATGCAACCCTCACACAAGGTGCAGTATAACCATTTAGTTTACGGCCTACCCTCTACAACTATAATTGATGTTGTTAGCTTGACAATGTTGCAGTAATCCAGCATTCTAGACATTAGCCCATTGTTGTTACTGTTGTGATTATTATTATTATTATTATTATTATGCATTATTTTCATTTTATAACTTGGTGCCATTCATGTTAAAGCCGTGACTTTGACTTATAATGATTGTCCCTAAATTGCTTAACAATACTACCATGGCACCGTAAACTCATTACCCTAGCCAGAATGCTCATGTTTCTCCAAAAAGTTATTGAGCTGTTAATTTACCATGCTGTTGTCCTACTCTGTTGATCTTATTGTGCCTGTCCCTGCTGTCGGGGCAGGGCGGGCTCTTGTGTTATACTATGCACAACAAAATACAAATAAAGAATTAAAAAAAAAAAATCGCTGGACTTAACTTACCAAAGAATAGTCAGGATACTTGCCGAGGT